GATCTGGTCTCAATATTTCGGTATTTCAATATAAAACCGTCATAGAAAAAAAACCATACCGCGATATATCACGGTTTTGATTTTTCTGGATGATATTTAACATACATATTTAAAAAATGTTTTATATTATTTACGATATTTTATTGCTTAATGATGAATAAATTAAATACTGTTATAAACTCCTGAGTATTCATTCCACAAAGTTTGCAAATACCGATCAGGAGCTTTGTTTACGTTACGAGACTTCTTGCTCACTTTTCCACCCGTTAAAATTATCCCTGTTTCTGTTCATTTTCATCTTGATGAATTGTTTAACCCGATACTTTGATTTTCGAAAGGAATCCATGATTTTCAGATTGAAATAAATTTTGATAAAGCAGAAATATAAATAATGCCAACTATATATATTGAGAGTTCCGGTAGACTGATTATCATTAACATTCAGCGTCAGATGTGTCATCCATAGCAGTCCGTGATCTGAAAAATCGCTATTTGACTAAATCAATGGACACTTTTTAACATAGTACTTATGTTTTATAGTTTATTTTAGTATCCTTGTATTGTATAATTTTTCAAGAAGGTATACGCTTGAATGAGAAAAAACAAGTTTGCAAGGGTAAATGAACAGTATCCAATCGTAGCTATAAAAATATGCACGGTCGAAAGAACACAAATCTTTTTTTTTATGTTTTTTGTGCCTCCTTCACATGTAAATATTTTGAATTTAAATAAAATATTGTAGTTAATATTTTGAAAATTGTAACAAACAACAACTTTAGCAAGTTATATAGATCTGTGTTTGAACCAGCTCATTAAATTTTGTTTGTAAATTCGGTACTGTCTAAAAATAACATTGACTAGAAAGTGTCAAGTGAATACTCCAGGGGTATTTCCTACGTTTTATGCATGGTTATTTACATTTAAAAGGTGATAAACTGATAGTATTGACATTATATAAAATTTCGCTATGTATATCAAGGTTTTGGACCCTCTAGAGGCCACAGTTTTGATCCGATTTTGATGAAACTTGAAATACATGTTTATAACCCAAAGATCTTGGTTCCTTTCGATATTCACACATATCGGATCGTTACTTCCTGAATTTATTTTTATTTAAGATCTAATTTAGCATTTGTTTCATAATGTCCTGCCCTCTCTTCTCGCGACAGCGATTTTAAAACTGTGTTTTAAAGTGACTTTTTGATAAGAGTTCCTCTACCATCATGTGCAGTCCAAACGATGTGAGATACATTTCCGTCAGAAGAGTATTGTGGTTCTAATTTCCCTTGGTAAAAAAGTACAGGAGTAAAAAGATGTGGTCATGCAAAATGTATCATAAAAGTCAAACATGATTGAAACGCTATTTGTAAATGACGATCTGTTAGCAGAGTAGCCAACTGTATCTCGTTTTCCTGTAGCCATCGTACGGCGACTTTCTTTCTGCATGTGGATTTGATTTTATTTACTCTGAAATAGACCGTAAAAATGAAATACGAAAAATAACTCAACATAAGTTAGAATTAACAGTACAAATTGAAATAAATTTTGTTGTTAACCATCTAAATCGAATAAGAGAAGGGTCATCTAACTATCTTTGTGTATTAATAATAATATCGCAAGTGTTGTGTCGTTAATATGTCATTAATCAATCAGACTAAAGTTGCACAGGCATGGTGTCATAAATTAATTTACACCTCGATGTGAGATTAAGAAATTATCTTTTTTATACCGGCAAGATCAAAGATATTTAGGTGGTACGGGGGATCTTTTCTACAAACATTTCTCCACACGACAACTAATCGTAGAATTGTACACTTACTCATCAGTTGTGTACAATTATTATTTACCCAATAATCAATTAGCTTTGTTCACCAATGTTTTTGTAATAAAGTAGCCTCGTATTATGTGTTGATTGGCGTTTATAGCATCATATGAAATCAGAATATATATTATTCGAATGATAAATGGTTGTGATAAGATGAGGTTATAATTAGGGCTGTACAATATTGCAAAAAGGGACGATATCGATAGTTTTTCGCGCCAAAATTTAACCTCAGTTATGGAACCCTACATGGTAATAAGATTCCCGGCGTTGATTGGCTGAGAAATGAGGGCGATCTATTGTTATGCAAAGTCATCGGAAAATTACATATTCGCTGTGAATTTCAAATGGAGTTACGATAAAAGTTGTTCTTTGTGTATAGAAATGGTTATTATTATTATATATAGCTAAAAATGAACATATCAACAAATGACTGGCACCATTTGTATTTCTGTACTTATAGAGAATAGTTTGGGATATCAAGTATTACAGGGTTATCCAAATTATCGGTAAATGCGCTAATTGCTTTGGTCGTCCTCATTTGCCAAGTGACCTATTTAAACAAAGGCACCTTAAATGGATCTACGGCATGTTACAGCATTTTAAATTCACTCTAAAATATTCCAATCACAAATGTCTAATCTATAACAACGTAAGACAATAATTCGGTAATTATGATTAGGCCGGTCACATGTTAATTGGGTCGTCAATACACACTTGTCAACTGGTGGTGTGTAGACAGTGATACAATATATATTGTACTGACAGTGATATATTGTATAGATAATGTATATACTATGTGTAGTCCCTGTGACGTCACCAGTCAATCAACCGGATTAAGGTCGTAATTGAACAATTGAAAAGCGTTTTGGCGTGTCAGATACTTAAACGTTAATAGACAAATTAATTTTGATCAGATTGGTGTGAACTTGTCGTAAAGTGGATATAGTAACCATTGGCTATACGTACATGCAATTTAGATTTTTCATCTTATCTGGTCTTTAAGCTTGTGGACCCTGTAGAGGTCACAATTTTTATCTGATTTAAAAAAAATGTTTAAATATACCACTGTTCCTGAAGCAACGACCGCGAGTTTTACAACATCTAGCCGTTGCTTCAATACTCAATAATTCCCGAATTTTTGCGCTTGTTGTGTTTACACGTGACTAATTAGCATTGTCCAATCAGAGGTTGTGGCACATAACACACTGTAAACAAATATGGCAGCCTCCATAGAAAAAGAAATAGACAAGTTTACTGCCTTTGTTGATCAACCATGATTTCCAGCACCCTTGACATTGATCGAACCTTGAACTTTGCAACTCGATTGTCACATGTAGACATTTTAGCTAGAAGCGCGAGACTTGATAATTGTAACCATATTTTTAACGAAGGAATCTGGGCTTATACCCAATCAAATTAATGCTAAAATATGCGGTGTATTACGTGAAGGGCTTGATAAGATGTACGTAGTTAAGGCCAGATGTTGACCCAAATGAAGGACGAGTTCGAATTTCGTGAAAATTGGACCAAAAGTGCTGGACAAAATGGCTGCCTGTCATACGTAAATAGTGTAAATATATGGTATATCAAGGTTGTGAACCCTCTAGAGGCCAGAATTTTGATCCGATTTTGATGAAACTTGAAATGCATGTTTATCAGGGCTTGCCACGAGACGCGAGTAATTACTCGCGCGCACGCTACGCTTGCGTAAAACCAAATTTACGTGAGTGATTAAGTACTCGCGCAAATATAAAAAATAATTTAATCAGAAATAATTGAATATCGTAATATAAAAAGCCGTAAACAATTTGTATGCCTTCATATCGATGCACTATTGCGCACGCGGCGTGTCTTTCCAGTGCCAACTGTTGTTACTAAAAATACTTTGAGACGCGTACTGCCAGGCGGTTTTTAAGCGGATGTCCTTTGCCGTGTCTGGATAATCAAACATTGAGCGGATGTTGTCGTTTCTATTAATAGCAATTCTTTCGATTCCGCATCTTTTCTGCAAATTGATGGGATTGAAATTGTTTTGCCTGTTCTTTTACCTTTCTAAGCTTTACCCGAATCCCCTCAGCATGCCAACGATGGCAAAGGGCTTGCCACGAGACGCGAGTAATTACTCGCGTGCACGCTACGCTCGCGTAAAACCAAATTTACGTGAGTGATTAAGTACTCGCGCAAATATAAAAAATAATTTAATCAGAAATAATTGAATATCGTAATATAAAAAGCCGTAAACAATTTGTATGCCTTCATATCGATGCACTATTGCGCACGCGGCGTGTCTTTCCAGTGCCAACTGTTGTTACTAAAAATACTTTGAGACGCGTACTGCCAGGCGGTTTTTAAGCGGATGTCCTTTGCCGTTTCTTTTACCTTTCTAAGCTTTACCCGAATTGCAACGTTCTTGTCATGGGAAGACGATTTACAGATAATATTACTGCCCAGGAAATAAAAGAGTATGCATTGTCATTGTGTGTGAAATAGCTTTATTCAACGTCTGCTTCCACCGAAGTGACAAGAGCATTGCCATTAGGCACATGAAATTTAAATGGCTACTCACGCACATCATTCTGCGTGAGTAAATACATGTACTCGCCTCACTCGCGGAAGTCTATATTTGCGTGAGTAGTCATCTACTCGCCTCCAATTTGCTCGTGGCAAGCCCTGTTTATAACCCAAAGATCTTGGTCACTTTCAATATTCGCGCATATCAGATTGTAACTTCCTGAATTATGACCCTTGACTACAAAAAATCATGTTTTTAGCTTTTGGTACCTCTAGAGGTCACAATTTTTATCCAATTTAAAAAAGCGTTTGAATATATCACTTTTACACCATAATGATGGTTGAGTTCGAATTTCGTGAAAATGAAACTGCCCGACAAAATGGCCGCTCCTTGCACGCAAATTTTGTACAAGTAATGAAACTTAAAATATATCTTTATATCCCTAAGATCTTAGTCGCGTTAGATATTCTCACATTTCAGACCATAACTTCTTGGATTATGGCCCCTGATTGTACGAAAACTCGTGTTTTTCTTTTTTTTAGGTTGTTCTCTATCCATCTCTTGCAAAATGTGGGCGTATCTTGCCTTGCAGCCGCTGGTATTTTATTATATTATATTATGTCATATAAGTGTTGTAAGTATGTAAGTCTACTCATATTTCAGGCTCCCTGTCTATGAAAAAAATCAAATTCAACACAAAACTTGAGCATGAATATATAGCCAACTTTAAGGCTTTACAAAATTCTTTCAAGAAAGTAACAGTAGATAAGGTGAGATTATTAACCTCACCTGACAGTCATCAGTTGGTGTTCTGTTTGTTGTATTTTTGACTGCACCCATTGTCTGCTGCATAGTTGCCTAGTTCATAATAAGCATGTCCAAATACTTACCTGCATCTTTCTTTATTGTTTACCACTACTAGCTAATTAATTGTACTAATCCATGTCTTTATGTTTTCATTGTGAATCATTACAAAAATCAAATTACAATAATTTCAAAATGTTATTTGTAATAATTTGTGTTGTACATATTTTTGTTTTTTGTGTTAAGATTACACTGAGACTTCACTGTAATGGTGAACATTTTACAGAGAGAGATCACAGGCTGGATCTTCACAAAAAGGTGTCACATGGATTTTACAGAAAATTCCCTTACAGTTTAAGTTATCTGATAGTATAGTCAAACCATTATACAGAGGTTCGAGTTAATGTTAATCAATTATTTTACTTTACTAGTTTCTCTAGGGATGTGGAGGAGAGCAATTTATTAATATAATAAAAGTGATATTTTAGTGTGAGTATTGAGATGGCTGTCTGATGGATTGATACTAAGCAAACAGATGCTGGATTGACAATATCAATAAGATGTTTTTGTCACAGATAGCAATCAGTTTATAAAACCATTGAAATTCATTGATTGGATTTTATAATTTTCTTATTGCAGATGCTATTCCATTGAAAAAAGTAAAATTTAACACAAAATTAGAACATGAATATATTGCCAATTTCAAGTATCTCCAAGTCTGTTTTACAAAAATAGGTGTAGATAAGGTGAGTGGCCTGCCCTTGGCTGCCATTTACAAAAAAAGTTATTATAATATAAATTATAAGCTTACAGAAGACATATTAGTTTACTTTTTTATACATACTTACAGTTCTATTTAGTTGTAATAAGTATTTTGTTTTGTTATCTTCATTTTGGAAACCAAAGCCAATATTGTTTTAAGGTTCTTAATTTTTTTTCATTGCATGTGAAATTTCCCTGGGAACTTTTACTTTTAGAGCAGTTTCAACTGTCTTGTTTATTTTCCCAATAATGTTGTCACAGTAAAATAAATGTGCTCTAAATAAATGTATAAAATTGAATGGATTTCTTTTGGAGGGACACAGTACAGTTTATTCTTTATTTAGAGAAGATGTGCTTTAGGACAGACTTTATAGAGGCCATGAACATGGAATAGTTTTCCATTTGCAGATTTTAAAGAAAGCTGGTGGACTATTAAAAAAATGGATCTGTCTATCAGTCTGTGTTTATTATGTAAATGCCTTGATGGAGTTTGAAGATCAGCATTTTCTTCTTAGGCCAAGAAGAGATAAGCAATTTGATTGGTTGATGCTTTGGAGCACGATAACTTAAGTTTTAATTAAGTGAGAGTGATGAAACTTGTGTTTAGTTTCATTACAAGTTTGATAATGATCATTTTCTGCTCAAGGTAAGCAGAGCGATAAGTAATTTGATTGGTCGAGTCTTTGGAACACAACAACTCTCCTTTTAATAGGGGTAAAATGTTCAAACTTGATTAGGTGAATGCCAGGATGGAGTTCGAAGATAAGCATTTTCTACAGAGGCTAAGCAGAGATAAGCAATTTGATTCGTTGATGCTGTGGGATATAATAACTTTGGTTCTACTTAAGTGAGAGTGAAACTTAGTGTGTAGTTTCATTACCTCAGTACCTTTAGTAAGTTTGATAATGAGCATTTTCTGCTCTGCGTAACCAGAGCAATAAGCAATGTGATTGGTCTAGACTTTGGAGCTCAATAACTTTGATTCTTATTGAGTGTGAGAGGTGAAACTTTGTGTATAGTTTCATTACATCAATACCTTGACTAAGTTCGTTGATGAGCATTTTCTGCTTAAGATAAGTAGAGAATTTGGAACACAATAACTCTCCTGACTCAGCCTGAGGTAGAATGTCCAAACTTGGTGTAGGTGACTTTTAGGTGACACTGACAGTGTTCAATTATGCACACTTTCCACTAAGGCTAAGCAGAGATAAGCAACTTGATTGGTTGATACTTTGGAAAACGATAACTTTGGCTCTAATTGGGTGAGAGTGATGAAACTCTGAGTATAGATTCATCATGTCAATACCTTGATAAAGTTCAATGATGAGAATTTTCTGCTTACACTAAGTAGTGATGAGCATTAACACAACACAATATTTATGGGAATTTTATAGGTCAAGACTTTGGAAAATAACAACTCTGCTTTTAATTGAGGTTGAATGTTTAAACTTGGTGTAGATGTTCATTAGGTGAATGTCCTGACTGAGTTCAATGATTACTACTTTCCACTAAAGTTAGAAGAAATTTTATTGGTTGATGCTTTGGGACAAGATAACTTAACTTATGGAGAGTAATGAAACTTAGTGTATAGTTTGACTACCAGGTACTTCAAAAACTTGACTGCGTTCGATCGTAAACATTTTCTGATTAGACTAAGTATAGATAATCAGTTCAATTGCTTGATACTTTTCAAAAAGATAAATGTGCAGTTAATTAATATAATATGTGTCATCTATTTATTTTGGGATGGCGATGGTGCACATCAGCCTCTTTGTTGGCTTGTTGTTTTCTCAACCCATTTCGGTATCTGTTGTATGCTTGTAATTGCATTTAGATGGTGGGGGAGAAAAATATTCCAAACTGAAGGTTGCAACACTAGAATTTTAATATTAAAGGATCATTAGTACTTGCTTCAAAGGAATTAATAACACACATTATTGATAATATCATTTCATAACTTCCATTCAATATAACTTTAGACTCATTTAAAGATACATTATGTAAGATTTAGATAAAGAGCTGGCCGTTCTTGCTATAAAAGTTCTAAAATAGACAGTGAAAGATGAATATATTGAAAATTTTAATAAAGATGTAGCATAGATAGTGTCAAATACCATTGCTACAATAATAAACAAAAGTCTTGATTATGCCACAGGTGTTTTAATCCATTTAATGTCTCGGTCAGTCAATGGACTTGGAAGGTTGATTATGAGCTTGGCATGTGAATAAATCATAAATGTCTAAATAACAATTTATGTAACATTTGAAGCCAAAAAAAAAAACTTGCAATAGGCAGGTTTAGCTCTTGCATAATGCATCTTTAATTGCCGAATGTCTTAGCTTGTACAATAGATTGCACAAGTGTGTCGCCTATAGCCGCAATTCTTAATCGATCGCCTTGAAAGCTTTTCATACTTATTCCTTATACCCTAAGGATGACCTCTATTATTTTTGGTGCATGCCCAACCCCTTGGGACAAAGCCACGCACAATTATTGTGTATGTCTGTGTTTTGCCTACAGGCCGCAATTCTTAACAGATTCTTTTGAAACTTTGCATACACATTCCATATACCCTAAGGATGATCCTATTGTTTTTTGTGTGTGTTGCCTACAGACACGCGCCCAATTTTTAATTTCAGTGTTCTATCGTATACAGGCCAGAATTCTGAATGGATCGTCCTGGAACTTGGCATCTGCATTCCTTATAGCCTCAACTATAACAGTTGGCGATCAGTAAATGGGCTGCAGTTTCAGTTAAATTGTGTTAAAAATGTTGACTCCTAAAGTTATATTCACCTCCATGATAAATTTTCTTGAAAACAAAGAGTCATACTCATACATTCATGGCTGTTGTCACCTGTCAATAAGGTGACTATTGAAATAAGTTTGTCCAGTTTGATGATGATCATTTTCCTATCAGAGATTTGATTGAAGCATTGGAACATGATTCTGATTGAGAGAAAGTTGTGAAATTTAGATATTGAGTAACACTACTGTCATGCACAATTTTCTTATCTAGAAATAATTATTGTCAGTATAAACAGTTTACAAACATATGATCAATACAAATATATTTCATAGTTTTGCACCAATGAAAATTGCTGTGAATGTCTGTGGGTAAAAAGTTAAAATAATAAAGATAAATGGCCCCAGAAACCAATAGACACAGCTTTATGTTTTTGTTTTACAATGAATAATTGTTTCCTATGTGCAAACAAATATTATTTCTTAATTTGCTTTTTGTGATACTAATGCAATTACACTAATCTCTATTACAATATTTTGTTTAGTTTTTAAATCATCTTGGCTTTTTTTTTAGTTGGTTAGTCAGCTCATTGCTTTTTCTGCTTTTAATATTTAAACATTTTCTTTTTGGTAAAAGCTTTTTTATTTTTGTAATATTGATTATGCATGATGTAAATTATTGGTTATAAACTAAGTTGTTATTATTATTCTCAAGTCTAGAACTCAAAATCACTAAATATCTTTTATTCGGTATTTGAACTGTAATAAGAAACTAAAATCAAATTCTTAGACAATATTCTGAGCTACAGTGTTCAAAATTGTGTGGTTGGCATACAACTACCCTTAAGACCCATTGTCAAAATTTCTATAGAGTTATGTGTGTCCTCTTTAAGTCTTATTTTGTTTCCAAACTTCCAAAGTCTGCATAAATTTCAATGACAGGTTAAAGTTGTAAAAATAACTTAGTGGTTTTATATCAATAAATATGATATTTTGATTGTATCAAGAATATATTATAATATTGTTGTTTATACTTGATCAAAGTAAACTTTTATTACCAGGTTATACCGGTGGAAAGACTTGTAAAAGGAAGGTTCCAAGATAATTTCGAATTTGTTCAATGGTTTAAGAGATTTTTCGATGCAAATTACCAGGGCCAGGAATATGATGCTTTAGCGGCACGGAGGGGAGAAGCTGTAGGATCAACTCTTAAATCTTCAGCTTTAAATAAAAACCCGAAACCTCCACAGCCCACACGAACAGGTACTTTTGAACTGAAGTAGATTGCCAGAAAAAAAAAAAGTACTACTCCATAGCTGTTCTTAGTATGGCTAAAATATTATTACCGGTAATAAGCTAGGGATTCAGATGGAGAATTTCCGTATCCCAGTAGATATTTTGTTATTATAGATGTACCTTCTCTATGTGTCTAGGTACAAATGGTACCTCAGTATTTATTTACACACTGTCCACACAGATTAATGTGTCAATATTGAGATCTTAACCTTCACATTACTATACTGGGTGAAGTAGTACACACACATGAACACCTATCCGACCATAGTTTATCTTTTTTTTAACTGGAAATGATGAGAATTCTTTAGGAGTTTTCCGCTTGAAAACTTATAATACAAGCTCCATTATAAGTGATTTCTTACTAGATTTCATGAAGTATCTAACTCATCTTTATTCTTATGCATCTACCAGTATTTTCTCAGTAATTATTGTAAAAAATATTTATTTGCTTACCTGTTAAATTGCTTTGTCTTTATAGTTTCAAAACCTTCGCCAAAGTCAACACCTAGTCCTGTATCAAAACCATCAATTGGTAGAATAAATAATCATGGGCATGGTGATGCTGTCAATGAAGGATTACGTGCTGAGGTATATCTTATTACTGTCTCCCTAACTCACTTTACAAATTGAAAGTTTACTCTTTTAAATATATTGCCATGACATACAATGTCTTACATGACCATGTATTAGAGACTATATAATATCGAAACTACAGGGAAAACCAATTTCTTGATGCCAACTACTTCTTACAAGTTATGATCATGGAATCATATTCTATTTCAAATCAACGGGCATGGATTTACCTACTTGTGGGTGGGCCCTAGGCCAAACTCATCAGTGGGCCCCCAAATGTATAGAACTGTTATTAATGTGTTTCAGTATCTAAAATATACTATTCAAAAAAAGTAGGGGATATTTGATTTTTAAGTGTTATTAAAGTCACCTAATGAAACTGACGAAGAAACAAATGACAAAATGAAATGAAGTTCACATTCATCGATTTATTCCAAATGATCGTTAGACTAAGTAAGGCACAGACTGACCATTATAAGGGTAAAATGATACCCGGGGTCAAACAGCAAAGTTACCACAGCATCACAACCAAGTCAGTAACGGGTAAATCCTCCTCTGTTTGCCAAACAAGCATTGATCCGACGTGGCATACTCCTAATGAGACGTCTAAGGTCATTTTGGTCCAGATTGTCCCATTCCTGTTGCAACGCAGCAGCAAGTACTTGGACATTGGCAGGACGTTGTTGACGTTGACGTAACCTCTGTCCAAGCATGTCCCAGACATGCTCGATGGGGGAGAGGTCGGGACTCAGTGCTGGCCAAGGTAATGTGGTGATGTTCTGTTGTTGGAGGTAACCTGTAACGATCCTGGCCCTGTGACATCTTGCGTTGTCATCCTGGAAGATGAAACGGCGGCCATGACGTCGTGCGAACGGCACAACATGGACTGCCAAGATGTTGTCCCAATTTCCTGTAACACGCCCTGCAACAACATGTAAAGCCGTTCTTCCAGCAACAGTGATGCCTCCCCACACCATAACAGAACCACCCCCAAATCGATCATGTCTGATGACGTTAATGTCTTGGAAGCGCTCGTTTCGACGACGCCACACCCTCCTACGTCTGTCCAAAAAATCAACAGTGAACCTTGACTCATCTGAAAACATCACATTGCTCCAGCGTCGATTATCCCAGTGTTGACGATCCCTACACCAACGACGTCTTGCCTGAATGTGATGATCTCTCAAACAAGGGATCACGCGAGGACGTCGGGCGCGAAGGTGACCCCTATGCAGTCAATTCCGAATCGTCTGGCCACTCACTCTCACACCAGTGTCTGTTTGAAGACGAGCGCTGATCTGATTTGCTGTGATGACACGATTTCTCAAGGCCAAGGTACGGATAAATCGATCCTGGGCTTGAGTTGTCGCCCTTGGTCGACCTGAGCGTGGTCTGTCCTGTACAGATTGTGTATCACGGTATCTGGACCATAGCCTGCCTATGACAGACTGAGAAACATTCATCGTCCGCGCCACAACCGCCTGTGTTGTGCCGATCTGTAGCATGCCAAGGGCACGTAACCTTTCATTTTGGGTAAGCCGACGCATATCAAAATTTGTTTTCTGGTCACTAAAACAATTTAACTGATGTTTCCACCCTGGAATTCAATGCCACAATCACTGTAACATTCAAAGTCAGAGTCGTGCAAATCTTGGGTTGGACCCCCATGATGATCCCAAGCATCACCTGCATTCCATGCGGTAGCTATCGGTGCGTTTGGGCGTCACATGTAACTGGAAATGTTTCTTCTGTTAGGTTCTATAGTGACTTTTTTCGTAGTCATTTGCATATTTTAGTATTATGCCCCCAAAATCAAATATCCCCTACTTTTTTTGAATAGTATATATAGTTGATTTCTGTGGGCCCTAAGCGAATGGCCTACTTTGCCTATTTGTAAATCTGACCCTGCAAATTGATTAATCCTGTCGTTATGAGTAATATGTCAATAAGTGACAGATGAATGGGATAGTTATACTAGACTCTTACATGCTAACAGTTATCTGTGAAACTTGTGATGGTTAGAATATGATCTTGTTCTATTTCCTGACCTATAGTTAAATTTTTATTAACCCCTGCCTTTCGAGGAAAACTATGGGACTATTATGGGTCTGTCTGGCCATCACATATTTTGGAACACAATAACTGTCCTAATTGAGCTAAAATGTTCAAACTTAATGTAGGTATTTATTAGGTGAATACCTTGATGGAGTTCGAAGATGAGCATTTTCTGCTTAGGGTAAAAAGAGATAAGCAACTGAACTTATGGAGAGTGATGAAACTTAGTGCACAGTTTCACTACTAGGTACATGTACTTCAAAATCTTGACTGGGTTTGATTGTGAACATTTTCTGCTTAGACTAAGTATAGATAAACAGTTTGATTGCTGGATACCTTTCAAAAAGATAAATGTACAATTAATTAATGTGTCATCTATTTATTTTTTGATTGCAATGCAGGACACCGGCCTTACTGTTGACTTGTTTTTTTATAAATTTATATACTCTTAACTAGGAATAGTTTTTTTTTATAAATTTATATACTTTTTAACTAGGATTAAATATAATTTTATAAGATGCACCATATGACCAATTTAATAAGATGGCATCTTAATCTGGTCATATATTGTTGTCAACTTTGTCTAGAATTTGTTACAGCGTAAAAATCCATAATTATAAGGGTATGGTTTTGAAGTCACAGTTTTCATTAGGTTGTTTAGATTATGGCAATGATGACATTTCTCTAGTAGTTACTCCCCTTTAGTTCCCACTTCATTTTCAAAACACTGTTTACACTCTAGTGTGTATGTATTGAGTGTAAATATATAGATATTAGATAGATATTAATATCGATAAGTTTATCTGATAATTAGTTTCAAAAGTACATTAATAGATGCATTTTGTAATTGATGTTCATTTTCCCAATCGGTGCCGAAAAATAACATGTTTAATTTCATTTAATTCCATTTTGTAATCTGTGCTGATTACTCAGACATTTGAACAAACTTCAATGAATTTGTGAATTTTTTTCTATATTGACAAGACATGTACTTGCATTGTTTTTTATTGATCATATTTTCAGATATCTCAGTTGACAGTGGAAAAAGAAGGTTTGGAAAAGGAGCGAGATTTTTACTTTGGAAAATTACGTGATATTGAAGTTTTGTGCCAAGAAAACGAAGAAGATCCTACTATTAAAAAAATTATGGAAATATTATATGCCACAGAGGTTTGATTTTAATGAATTTTATACTGCTTGTACAATTGATTTATTTTGAGTGTTTATTGACTAGACTGTAGATAGTGTTCTGAAATTTAAGGATTTATTGGGGGGACGGATATAGCAATAGGCGAACTTTAGAGCACTTTCCTGTGTGTTTAGATACAAACTGGATTGGAAGATGTCACCGTCCAAATTTGTAGAAACTGATAAACAAATGAAATTGGGTTTGAATCATATCAATTATTTCCTGGCACATTCATGATTATGCCGGGTTTCCGTATATGTTAATAAGTCACATGATATCCTACATTTGCATATGAAAGTTACAATGTAGAAAGCGTGAAGGACAAATGGGATGTGGCAGAGCGCAAATGTAAAATGAGAGAAATGTAAAACGTAGACACGTCAAAATAAGCATTTTCCCCAAAAAACATTTGTCATTTAACACTTAACATTTGATGTTTTACATTTAACTCTTGCCTTAGAGGTATTTTGACTTTATCATTATCTGTATTAGGACTTTGTACATTGTACTTTTAACATATAATCAATGGAAACGACATTGTTGCAGAGCATTTAATATTGGCAGCGATACCCTTCCATAGATTTGTACATACTGCATACATTGATCAGCACATTTTCAATGTATATTAATATTTGATATTAAAATCTTTGTAACATTATTTCCTTTGCTGTTCCGTAATCTATGACTGACCTGACAACGAGAAAGCTTTTCATTAGCTGAAATTCTTGTGGCAATACGAGACAGCCAGCTGAAATATTTTTCATAATGAATTCACCAAATTCAAGTCGCACAATCAACAAAAGCAATATTGAGATCGAAATCCCCCATACCAAGTATATAAGTAAAGTATGGGAGTTTTTAGGATTTCCCATTAAGCATGACAGCAATGAAATCAGGTCAGTTGACCGAGAAAACACCACATTTAAAGTAAATCATAAAAGTAGGCCTTCGAATTTTCAGTGAAAGACTGTCAAAATTTAACAGCATTTTTTTAATTTATTTCCTATATCGCGATATTAATCGTATCGTAGACTATGAATCGTGATGCGCATCGTATCGTGTCCCGACGTATCGTTGCAGCCCTAGCTACTGGCATTTCTTCATCAGCAGAATGCACAAATCCATTATGCTTCTACCTTGAAAATACATCATCATATATATCACCTTGGGTCATTTACAGATTATAGATCCAAATTGGGTTAGCCAAAATAGATCAAATCTAGTTTATGAACCTGACAGTCTACATTTCTCATACGTTGTAACTTTGCCTGGTAAGGCGTATGGATGTGATCTTGGACAGGTTCGAATTTAAATGCAAGTTATTTCCCTTGAGCTAGTAAAAATAGCTTGGAAATGCATTATAGAGTCTATATTTTTCATAATTATAGATTTTACAGAATTATAGCCCTTCACTTGATTCAGTTGATTATATAAGCTTTTTCAAATAGTTGCTATTTAAAACTTTATGTGGGTGTATCTGCCATAGCGGCAACGATCTTTTGATTTTATGATGAACACTCGAAAAAAATAAATGTATGTTTCAAGAAGTTAAATCACCCTGTCTCAAACGTTAATTAGAAATCTTGGATATTATTTGTTTATAACTAATCACATGTTGTCTTGATTTTTAAATCATCTAAAATAGTTGATATTTATATGGGAATTTAATATATTTTTAGGATGGTTTTGCACCACCTGAAGAAGATGGGCTTGTTGATGGAGAGGAAGAACCAGAAGAATACTAGTTATCGTAATATCTTACCTACTAGACATTTTCCAACACAAACAATCTTGGTGTGATATTCCGAACAGCTCATTTGAACAATAATAATTTAGTCATACAGACAAGATGTAAAATTAAAGTATCAACCTCTGTGTGGCCTTTTCTTTTCATTGTATATTAGGAGCAGTGAGAAATATTGACAGTTATAAATGTTATTGTGCTTTATTAGACATTGTCTTTATCAATATAGGTAATGATTGTTATACGACAATTTGTCAAGCAGATGATAAATAATCTGCTTTATGCCTAAACAAGTTTGTCTTACTAATATTCCCTTTGACCTAATATAACTGTTTATTGGAGATATACAAAAGTCAAAAGAATTGATTTCTCATAGCTTGAACTGCTAATCTTATATCAGTAGTAGAGATAAGACACTGGACTATGAAACATATTGAAGGAATCCTCAATTTTGTTTATTAATAATACCACTATTAAAGCTTTAAGTTAGTAATACCAGTGGATTGTGAAATCAGCTTATTTTATATTACTACCAACAACTGTCAAATCTACAATGTGTATATATATATAAATACTTACATTGATATTTATGCATATAGAGATAATGTAAATCTGCTGATCACAAAAGGTCTAGGTTAACTCTTTTTGCAACTTAGAATCATTTGCATTTCTAAAATATTTTATTTTGTTCAGTTGCATGCCTACTCAATGTTCAAACTAAGTGTCTTCTTCTTTAGGAGCTTAAATGTTATTTTTCTATGCTCCAATAGTTTTATTAACTTGTAGGACAATGGAATATCTTTTCATGGCAATAATATCTCACACTTTAAATATTAGGTAAACTGATTATACATTTATTTATAAAACATGTTATATTTTAAACTCTAAATGCATTTAGTACTATTCCCGATATAAACTATGGAGAAACATATCGATTATTATCTTTAAAGTGCTATTCATTATTATTATTATAATCAAATTCGTTTATTGGAAACGTGAACAATTACAAACCTATTTTTGTTTTATTTTCGTCAAGTCCTAAATTGTACAATGGGTTAATTAAATCAGTTCAAATAAAAAGTGCAAAGTATAATTTATTACTTTCCTAAATGAAAATGACACCTCTGCTGGTAAATTGTTTTTATGTTAAAATTGATGTTATTTTTGAAGTTTATTTTTCATCTAACTTTTGGCACGCTGTTCTATTATATTATAAATAAACTTATTCTGTATCTTTTAGATGGGTGAGTGTTTTTTTCTCAATGATATCCCTTGTAAATTGTTCTAGTTAAAAGTAGCAGGCTTTAGAGAGATATTGCTTTATACTCATTAATTGTAGGTTTCCTACACATAACAAAGAACTAGACATGTATTACGAGCTGTAATAGATTACCCAGAAGATCCTGCATTTTTTATAACATTTACAGCTCTACAAACCAAAGCAAATGTAATGAGGCTTATGAGCCCTTTCACCATTGAAAGAACATTAAGGTAGGGGAGACCGGGGCACATTGAACCAGTTTTTTCACATACATGGTTGTCCTCCTTCCATATCAAATGTTTTTATTAGATCTCATGTTCAAAGATATTACAAATTATCAAATGATATATAAACTATAATGCACTGGGGTACATTGAACCAGTGGTTCAACGTACCCCATTGACAATGGTTCAATTCAATTTGCCACGTCACATTTTTATCATCAAAATTTTAAAAAATTCAAAATGGATCAAGCCCTTGTTTATCTGGATTGTAGATATGAACTGATTGTAAGTACAAGAATTTCCTAGGCTGGACAAATTATCAAATGATATATAGTGTATAATTCACTGGGGTACATTGAACCATGGTTCAAAGTACCCTATTGACAGTGGTTCAATCTGCCCCATCACAGTTTCATGCTCAAAATTTTAAAAAAATTCAATATGCCCTCTATGGATCAAGCCCCTGTTTATCTGGATTGTAGATTAGACTTATATGAACTGATTTTAAGTACAAGAATTTCCTAGACTAAACAGCTAAAATGTATGGAAAATGATAAGTGGAAGTAGTGCATTTTCACTTTTAAGAGCTTTTTTGAAAAAATCATTGCCTAAAAAATAATAGACAGTTGTTACTGCTTATTGACGGGGAAATAGGTCTGAGAAGTTATCTCACTTTTGTGTAGTCTTGGGTTGCTTAGTATTATTTATAAAGGATATATCCATGGTGGTTCAATGTGCCCCGGTCTACCCTACCCTTGACAGTTGATATTTGATGAAGAGTGTCCGTGCTGTAGTTAATACTGCATTTCATTTCACTTATAATATATTGTTTTTCTGTCTAACCTGTATTAAATATTATCATTCAAACTGACACCAATTCAAGTTTTTCAGAAATATCAGAGCAGGGAGAATTTTTTTTACACCATTCGGACCTCGCTATAAATAATAACCATACTGTCAAGTATCGCACATTGGGTCTATGCCTATGGTGTTTAATTCCCAAAGAGCGGTAGATGACATGGTTTAACCAGTCTTATTTGCATCATTATCAGGGGCGGATTGGGCGATCAGTCGGACAAAAAATGAAAAAAATTATTTTGTCCAATTCGTCTTTTTCTGCTGAACATTATATTGGGTGGGTGTGTGTGTGGGGGGGGGGGGGTATTGGACCGGCCATGGAGCGATGATGATCATGTTGTATGTGGCCGGTGGCTTTAACAGGCCGCCACGCCATCACTGGAGTCTGGAATGGGCTGGTATAATAGACTTTCTGTGCTGGGTGTGGGCCGGAATTCCGAATCCTGCAATGGGGATTCCGAAATTCATCCGAAAATTTCTTCGGATTCACCCGGTCAGTAAAAGGGGCTGCTCCAACACGGGTGCCTGGGCCGGTTCCCGGCCCCAATCCGCCTCAGATCATTATGCACGTGATGATTTCAGTTGCACCATGGATTAATACCCTTAATACAAAGATAGGAATGAATGAATGATAATAAAAAGCAAATCGTTTGTAGTGTTCATTTTTATTGTGTTATAAAACAAAATCGTTTATAAAATCTATCTGACTTCTGGACTGCCCAAAATATCACCTAGAATGGAAGACACGTTAGTTCCCAACTCTGTGACCAGATCCTGAATACTATTATTTGGTGAGTTCTCTCTACGCAGGTATGGTTGACTACTTTTATTTGTGACACCGTCAGTATCATAGATTGTTGTTTGCTCTTGAACATTAGCCACTGTTGAATTTTTTTGGTCGACATCATCTAAATCTGTTGTTTGAAGTCCAGTTTCAAAGTTGATTTCGACTAACTCATCAACAAGAACTGTATCTGTAAAGCTCACTTTGTCGGCTTTTGAAATGGCATTTTCTTCGTTATTATTATTTGTTTTGAATATCTCATCATCGAAATCAATGTAAGAACATATATCTAGACCAAAGGCTGCTCTGTCTACGGCATCCTGGAAATGATCATAATCTGAAACAGTTTCAAACGGTGAAAGTGCGGTTGTGTCGTCCTCTTTTACTGTATTCGTTAGCATTTGTTTCGTTGTAAATTCTTCAACTGCAGGGAGATCAACCAATTGTGCAATAAGATCATCATTATCTTGAATATCATACTTTTCCTCTCTAGTAGAATTGGACAGCACATTGCCCTGCCTGGCAGATGTTTCAAGCAGTTCCTTCATTTCCTGTGTTGATTTGGTGGTGCTTTCTATTGCATCGACGCCTTTGGTGCCATTATCAATATGGAATGTATATGGCGTTGCTGACTCTAGTTCAGCTATGTCACTACCTTGCGAAGCCATAACCTGATCTGACAGTGACTCCATGGCCCCTTTCTCGATGTCTGGGTTGTGACTCTTGTTAGGGAATATCTTATCCGATTCTGGCCCCTGGTCCAGTAACTCCAGCAAATATTCCATACTCTCCTTATCCTTCTCCGTCATTGTCTCGATATTCTGATTCACGGGTACATCGATTGCTATTGTTTCTTCGGCGACAATATTTTTATCTCCGTCTTTAGAAACGCGAGGATCTCTCTGATTAACTTCAGCATTTACTTCATTTGTGTTTATCGTAGATGCCTCTTTACGTTGTGCAAGATTCGCTTCCAAACAAGCTTGTTGTAGCAAATCAGCTTTTTCACCTGACTGGATACCAGTTATCTGGAAATAAGTACCTCCATCCATGGTGCAATAAAAATCATGAGGAACGTTCACAGGATCATACCCCATTTGTTGGGATGCAAGATACTGTGGATAAATGTTGGAATGTACAGGTACTTGAGGTGCTTCTGACATATGTTGGTACCCAGGGTTATAACTTTGCCTCAATCCACTCTTGTTGAACATTTCCTGATAAGGTTGACCAGACATTGATTGAACGAGGTAGGATTTCTCGTCGAAATGACATAAACCAGACGCAGCGGCATTAAGAGCATCGACTTGATGTTGGTAATAATGACCACCGTGATGGTGGTGTTTGTGATGATCTCTGTGACGGACTTTGATCTGAGATGGTGCTGGAATTATTATTTGCCTGGAAGCATCGTCAAACGAGTATGCTAATTTCTTAGCATAGGTCGTTTGGTTTGATCTACACTCGCGTTCAGCAGTTTCCAATGTCTGCAATAGCCTCTCTGGTCTTGGCGGCAGTTCATTTCCAGAAACGACACGTATACGATTTGGAACCAGTCCCATTTTATCTAGTTGCTCGTAGTTGGATATTTTGTTTTCGCGTATTGGAATCAAGAATCTTTCAGTGTTGGCCGTATTGTTATTATACTGTTTAGTATGGAATATGTCCCGACATGTATCATCATCTTGCCTGTGCGGGGATATCCGTCTGTACGGCTTAAAAGCCGACGAAAGCTCTCGGCCTGTATTAAGTTGTGGAACACCAGAATTTGTATCTGGTCGAACAGACCTTTGTGTTGGCATATAATCTTGATTTGGATTATTTTGATACATCGGATTATTTGATCCCATAACAACCCGTGGTGTGTAGACTCTTTCTTGCATTCCTGGAAATGTATGGGTTTTGTTACGAGGCATTTCTGTACGATACGATGAGTCTGGGTTGAATGGAAATATAACTGTGGGCTGGTGACGACTTTCGCTTGTTTCGGTCGGCCAATATCTGGAATTTCTATGTTGTGGGATATCGTGACTTTCAGTACCGGTATAACATCTTGATGCACCACCGGGATACTCTCTTCTGGGTTGATTGTAATATGATGATCCATTTTCAGGGATGTGTGATTGATTACGGTGATAACTGGTGCCTGCCATAGGTTCATTAGATCTTGTATCATATGGCTGACTAACATTGGGTAATGGACCACCCTGTAATGTCGCAGGGGCTACATTTCGTCTCGCTGTTTGATAAGAATCCTGACGATTACCATCGAATTGTGAATAAGAATTATTCAGCAGTGAACCTGTAAAAAGTTGTAATTCTAGTCCATTCATATAAATATAAAAGATACATTATATTTAAAATTGGTAATATCTAAAACAATGGCCAACTTGCGGTTGTCATGCAAGATACGCCTACATTTTACAAAAATAAAAAAATAATAACAAAAACTCGCGATTTTTTGTACAAAGGCCATACCCCAGGAAGTTATGGTCTGAAATGCGCGAATATCGAAAGGAACATACTTTTACACATTGCGTACAAGGAGCGGCCATTTTGTCAGGCAGTTTCGTTTTGATTTTCCCGAAATTCGAACTCAACTATCATTATTTTGTAACGGTGATATATTTAAACGGTTTTTATACGCCCATATTGAACCCTGGTCGTATATTGTCGTATCCCCCCGTCCGTCCGTCGGTCTAGAGGCTACAGTTAATATCCAATTGACTTTAAATTTATACACAGTACAGTGTTAAAGGTCATAAGACGAAGAAACCTATTAATTTTCACCGATTTCCAATAATTACTATCAGAGTTATGGCCCTTGATCACTTTAAAAAATTCTTGTGGCCGCTCTAGAGGCTAAAGTTAATATCCAATTGACTTTGAATATAAACACAGTGTTTAAGGTCATGAGACGAAGAAACCTATTGAATTGCAGCGATTTCCGATAGTTACTGTCAGAGTTATAGCCCTATCGTTCACTTTGAAATGTCATGTGGACACTGCAGAGGCTAAAGTTAATATCTGATCGACTTTAAATGTATACACAGTGTTTAAGGTCATGAGATGAAGAATCCTATTGATTTTCACCTATTTCCGAAAATTACTA